ATAATCAAGAGAAAAGGCAAACAATAACATATGATTTTTTCAAAAAAAAAAAAATTATGAAATGGGTGCGCATTACAACATCATGCGTGTATTACAATGTCATGAAAAAGATCATACGGGAATTTTAATGTTTTAAAGTTTCATTACTTACTATGTTAGATACTTTGTTACATCAATATTCTATGATTAGGAACTTAGCAGTTATCTTTATTACTAATAACAAAATTTCGTTAAAGCCTTTGCTCTTAGAACCCCCATTTAATCTTCGCCCTTCCCCCTGGGTAGACTTCCTAAATGAACTTCCTAGTTTCCAGCATATATCATATTCTGCACTTATATCAGGATATGCATGGAACAAAGGTTAAAAAAGGCGCAAAGAGAGAGGCAAATTGGGACCACGGCCCTAATGAAAAGTAAAGGGAAACCCTAGAGGAATAGTCCTCAGCATATGCCACTTCTAGTTTCAGCATATCCAAAATGAAGGTGCGGAATAATGTTACTTGTACGTAACTAGTTACATAATAATTTACTTACAAATGAGGTGTCAAAAAGAGAGTAAAGAGGTCTTTTTTATAATTAGTTGAAGAAATTCTGATTTAATAATATTTCATCACATCATATGTATGTAAGCCTATTATGTACATGTAGTGCAATCAAAAGATGCAAAGCAGAGAATATAAATGTTGGGAAATAAATCAAATCGATATAATATGTAGGACATGATATGAAGTATATGATCGTAAACAAATAACAAAAATAAAGGCAAAAAATTAATTGGTAGAGGAACGGAGTAATTTATTCAATTATTGAATATGGAGAAAACGAATATAATAACTGTGCCTACATAATAATTCTATATTTTAAAAACACAAAACTTGTGAAAAGAGTCTTATATTTATAGGGGTGCATATCAAACCCTAAAAATATCACAAAGATGAAAACAAGATAAAAAAATAATGTGGAATGAAGGAAATAATATTTTTTTCCCAATAAAAATGCGTGAAATAAAGGAAATAATTTTTTTTTTCAATAAAAGCACCTGTAATAAAGGAAATAATATTTTCTCCAAAAAAATTCAACCTAATTTGGGTCAAAAAATTCGACAATCTTCACTTTAACACAAATTTCGATGCAACGAATGAAGCCCCAAAATTTCTCCCCTAGAAAAATATATCCGACTACAATGAAAAACTTGAACTTTTCAACAAGAATTAAACTTTTTCTAACACAAAAATGCTCATCCTCTTCCACAGTATCCAATATAGATACATGAATCCAAACATCAAATTTTCCAAAATTCACAAAAAATTAGAAATTACCAAACAGTGTCAAAACATACATTGTAGCAAAATCAACTCCCAATGCTTTCATTGAAGGCCTCTAGGCAATCTCAACATATTAAAAAACGTTCAAAGCATGTGCAACCAAATCAACATCCACATACTTATTTCCAATGGATATATGCCTAATAGTTGAATACAATGGAACCGCAGGTAATGGTGGCAAAGCGAAATTACACATATCCTTCAAACTCGAGTGAGTAATATTCTTCAATATGGATCCCGATCAAAATTCTAATGGTACAGTACTAAATTGAATCTCCACTATGGTACTAAATCTATACTAACTTTCTCCCCAAATTCTTCCTGACCTTTCAAGATATATAACTGAGATCTCTTCCACCCTTCCAATATAAGACAAACACCTTCCTAACCCTAAAAATTCCACCTCCTCTAGAGAACCTGTACCCTTTTGAATTAAAAGTTTAAAAGTACATAACGAAATGATATTCTTTTTCAAGTCTGGAGTATGTCAAACGTCATCAAGTGTTTTACATGTTCTATCCACCAACTTCAATCCGACTCTACCAATACTAGCTACCCGACAAGGTTTGTTGTTACCCATTACAACGACACCTTACGTCACCGTTTCATATGTTTCAAACAAATTCCGATTGAGACGCATATGGAATGCAAAACCTATATCCAAATATCCACTCCTCATCAGGTTTGTATTCCATGTCAGAAATCGTCAAAACATCTCCACCACTTAAATAATTCTCGACTATGTTAGTCTCGTCTGAAGTATTCGATTGCTTCTCATGATTTGCAGTCAAACTCCTTTTATTTTCCAATTTGTAACAATCCCTCTTAACGTGTTCTTTCGTCTTGTAATAATAACAAACTTGATTGCTAAAATTTGACCTTGACTTACCCCTTCTCCAATTACCATAAACAACAAGGCTTTCTTCATTTGTGGCCTCAAATCCAACCAAATGCTTCATCTTCTCTTTTGAAAACATGATATCTTACACATCTTCAATGGTGAGAGTATCATAACTATACAAGATTGAGTTTCTAAATGATGTAAACGAAATGGGCATCGAACACAAAAGGATTAAAGCCAAATCTTCTTCATTATACTTTACCTTTAAAGTCTCCAAATCAGTGATCTTTTTGAACACAGCCATATGATCTTTTAAAGACTTGTCTTCTGCCATGTGCTGAGAATACAACCGTTGCTTTAGATGCAATTGCTTGTAAGACTTTAGTTCGTGCACAATTGCTCCAACTCCAACCACAATGTAGTTGTGGTTTTCTCCGTCATGAAAAATATTGTCAGAGAGATGAAGATGAATTTGTGGAGGTGTCTTCCGATCCTTTTGTTGTTTCTCCTCCATCGTCCAAGTTATGGACATTTTGTTAAGTCCAAACAATGCATCATCCAAATCTATCTACAAGAGTACAGCTCACATATTCACTTGTCACAATGAAAATCTTGTATTACGATCTAAGAGCGAAATTTCATACTTCAGTTCATTGTTACTATTAATAACAAAAACCTTGAACAAATCATAACCAATAGTTTTGATACCACTTATTGGGAAATAAAAATGATCAATGTAATAAATATATGACATGAAGTATTTAATTACAACCAAATGAAAAGATAAAAGACAAAGAATTAATTGTCAGAGGAACCGGGTATTTTATTCATTTACAAATATGGAGAAAACAAATACAATAACTGTGTCTACACAGTTATTCTATATTTCAATAATACAAAACTTGTAAAAAAATTCTAATATTTATATGTCACATGCCAAGTCCTAAAAATTCCACAAAGATGGAAATAATATAAAAAATAATGTGGAATATATGAAACAATATTTTTCCAATAAAAGTGCATGTAATAAAGGAAACAATATTTTTCCAAAAAAATTCAACCTTATTTGGGTAAAAAAAAATCCAATAATAAAAAGTAATCCCTCAGAAATGAAACCTGCGCGGCTGCTTTGAGGAAAGGAAAATGTGTGGGTAAAGGAGTAACAGGAGTATTCTCTATTGGCAAGGTGGCCATGCACATACATATTTCCTCTTCTGCCAAAGGAGAATTTCCTCTTTTCCATCAAATCAGTAGGGCAATGGCCATGATAAAATTGGGATTAGACCAGCTGGCTCAACTTGGGCCTGACTTGATAGCTTTGAACTGGTTTACGTTAGATTGGTTTAACGGGCATTTCATGTAGGTCTGCTTTAATTCAAACTTTTTTCACATCCCACATATTTGATTTTCTTTGATTACTTAATCTAGATATGCTGATAAGGGATCAGAGCCGGTCCTGTGTCTGACTGGCCCTGAGGCGAACGATGAAAAGTAGGCCCCCTGGCAACAAAATTCAAAGGTGTATTATGCGACTCATTGCTAACTTAAAAAACTAACATTAAAACAACAACAAAATATATCATAGAAACGATTTATATTATAAACCATCAAACCAAAAATTTCAAACAATTAGTTAAATACTATTCGTGTTGCTGTTTTAGAGGCAAAAACATCAATCAAATCTGATTAACTTAGCTACTCAACCATTTCTTTTTCTATTGATAACATAGCCAACCCATTTAATCTTTCTTGCGACATAGTTGATCAGAGATAGGTCTTGATCAACTTTAATTTCAAGAAACTTCTTTCCGCAGATGCAACCGTAACTGGTATGGTTAACAAAATTTGATAAGCAATATAAGCATTTGGAAAACAAACATCCAATGTCTTCAAATATTGTAGCACTTCAATTGCTCTTGTTGCTTCACTTGGTATATAACACCTCAAAACTTGTAACTTCGAACATAAATCATCCCCACTGATGTCCGAACGCCCATTATGTTGAAGATATTCCTCAATATTCAAACAAGAGTTTAACAAACTTGAAAAATTTGCACCCCTTAACCTCTTCAAACTAAACAAAAATCAAAATATGTCATCATATTATTTGAATTGTTAAAATCGGGTCCTCAGAGAAGATAGAGCTTGATCAATTATAAAAATAAAGTATTCAACTCTAAAAGATTCTTCTGCTGATTGCTTTACCTCAGCACTACCACTTTCATCAAATTATTTTTTTCTTTGAATTATGCTTTTTTTCTGTAAATACAGCTTCAATTCCCATTTCGCTTGCCTTTTTTGTCGCTTCATCTTTGGCAACAGCAAATCCAATTTCTCTGTATTCTTCAAGAAATAAAACAAATCCTTGCAAGAGGTCGATAGCATGATCAATATCCATGGATTCGATTTGAAGAAATTTACTCACAATATTGACAGCATGTAACAATCTGTACCAGATTATCATCTCAAACAAAAACTCAAAATTTTGAAGTTCATGTGTTGCTAATGACTCGACTTTACTCTTCACTTTAGGATCTTCATTACTTTCTGCCGAATCAAGTAATGGATCTCTTATCTGTGCAGTTTGCTCCATTATAGGCTTCACACTTTCAACATGACTTTCCCAACGTGTTTGTGACAATGGCTTCACTATCAACCCTTGTACATTATCTTTGAAAATTTTCCATCGCTTGGTAGAAGAGGAAAACAATATGTAGATGTGTTGTATCACTCCTAAGAAGGATACAACTTTGGAACAATAGTTCACCATATCACATAATGCTAGATTTAGACTATGAGCGCTACATGGAGTATAGAAAGCTAAGGGATTCATTTCATGGACTCTTCTTTGCACACCTATGCTTCCCGCTCATGTTAGATCCGTTGTCATACTCTTGCTCTCTAATGTCATCAATATCGAGATCAATTTTTATCAAAGCCTTTTGAAGCTCGATTGCAAGTCCAAGTCCTGTTGTGTCATCTACCTTCAAAAATTCTAGCAGATGTTCTTGAACTGTAGGTAAGTTTGTCGAATTATCTACAAATCGTACAATTAAAGACATTTGCTCCTCCTGAATTGCATATGGAATACAATCAAGTATAACTGTGAAATATTTTGCATCTTTAACTTTCTTGACAATTGAACTTCTCACCTGATTAGCCAACAACTGTATCAACTGATTTTGAATTTTTTTGCCAAGATACGTATATTGAATCTCTCTTGCTTTAGCCCGCCGAAGGTGCTCTTGCATTACTGGATCAAATTCACTAACCATTTCGATCATTAGTAAAAATAAGTCATTGTTCTCAACGTGTAGTCTCTCATCATCTCTTCGAAATGGCAATGTGCTTTTCGCAAGTCTTTTAACAATAGCGATTATCCTTGTTAATACATGTCTCCAATGTTCTCTTTCAGTATCAATCAACAATTCAACGCTTTTATCAATTGTAGTTTTTGATCGAAACCTATTTTCCAATTTAATCCAACTAGTCATGCAACGTAAATGCTCCTCATTTCCTTCATGACTTTTAATAGAATGATGCAAATTATGCCAATCTTTGAATCCATCATTACCTAGTTGGCCAATCTTTGTACATTTATTGTTGTTTTAAACAACTTACGACAAAAGCAGAAGATCTTGTCCATAGACACTGAATATACTAGCCATCTTCTATCAACTATTTTTTCTTTTGGTAGCAATCGCTTATATTGTGAGGAATCGAAATGTCTATTTGTATAGTCTTTCAGAAACGAGATGTCATCGACTCTTTTTGGACCCCTTTCAACTAAGTTATCCCTTGTTCTTTGATCAATAATTTTTCAACTCCTGGGATCATCCAAATTTAGAGAAAAGCAACCCTCTTCTTCCTTATCATCTTCTTCATTATTAGAGGCGGGCTTCATCACTTCTTCTTCCTTATCATCTTCTTCATTATTAGAGGCGGGCTTCATCACTTCTTCTTCCTTATCATCTATTTCGTTAACATCGGTAGGTTGACTCACTTCTTCATCCTTATCATCTACTACATTAACATGGGTAGGTTGAATCTCTACTTCATCCTCATTCAACACATTCACATTGTCACTTTTGAAGTACTTGTTAATATTCCCTGCTTGACTTTAAATTAATGCAATTTCATTTCGTTTTCTTTTCCTCTTTTGAGCACCAGACTCGTATTTAGGAGGCATAGTAATGTCCAATGATTAGCCTAAAAAACAATTACAAAATAACTCAATCATCTCACAATTATATTTTCCAATATAGTTACTACGTGCGCTTGTGCAATTGTTCATCCTACAATAAGCAATCATATAAGTCGACTAGGCTGCAATTATATAAGCCGACAAGGTATCAAACATTTCCAATCTCTTCAATAACAACTTAGGGGAAAGCCATTGCTTACCTGATAAGTGAAATTTTGACGAAAATTGTGGAATTACACCCTTGAGAATGATCTCGTTTTCTGAACTGGTGGTAAGCTGATCTCAATTTTTGGATTGTGTCAATGATGCTCTAGCATAGGAAAAAGAAACACGTAAGGAAATAACAAGTATATGATGGATTAAAATGAAAGAAATAACAAGTATATGATAAATTGTAAAACTTCAATTTAGTTAAAACATGGATATTACTAGATCAGAGAACCACAAGCTTAACTAGATTAGAAAAGGAAAAAAGTCCTTCAATTTTCGTGTTCATTTTAATTTTTCTTCGTGGACCAAATTGATCTTAATAATTTTCTTTGTAACATACTTGTTAAATATTGTTAAATAAAAAGGCACTTTTTGATAGGTCAATTTTTTATTTAATTATAAAAAGGCACTTGACACATAATGCATTGATTTATTAAAGTATGTTCGACTAAACATAATTAAGAAGCACAGAAATATATAACAAAAATATTCATTAAATGATTCAATCAACAGACTAAATACATCAATTCAAAACTGATCAAAAGTTCACAATCAGAAAGAGGTCTTGCGGAGGTTAGAATACTTTCTCACATTTTAAACAAGGAAGCCAAAGAGAATAAGAGCACATCCTTTCACAGCTATTAATAGGATCTTGAGATGCAAACATATGATTCAAATTTATTGATTTCAAACTCTAAGACGCAGCAATGGAAAAGGATAAAGTAATTACATCGATTAGTGACACTACTAAACCTATATTAAATCTTATCTTCTCTTCATCAACTATGATCAACACATAATTAAACGCAACATGAGAAAGCCACATTTCTCAACACAATTTGATTGCACGCCTGTCGCCTGAGACCATTAAGAACATATTCACAGATGAGATGGAAAAAGAAACTAATCAATTAATCAATTCTACATTTACCCAAAAATCATTCACCGGTTCATAGTTGCAATTAATCAATCAATCATAATATTGGAAAAAGAAAACGCAAATTATCTTTTATAAATACCAATTCACACCTGTTCACACACGCTTTAAGATAAAGTGAAAGATGAAAAGTACCTTCTTTAACTTTCAGTAAAGCTTCGTACAGGGGCTTCTGGTTCTTCTTTTTCAAATACTGTAAAAAAAAATCAGTAAATCTTAAATTTTTTCCACAATAGAATGAGAAAACAAAAATAAAATTCAAAAATTGTAAAATCTCACAGCCTTGTAGCAAGTTAGCATGTACGTGTGCCAATGTAGTGAAGGGAAGGGGATTTCTGTGGTTCTGTGGGCTGTGGAGTGTGGACGGCGGACCTGCAGGTGGACGGCGGACCTGCAGGCTGCAGGCTGCGGCCTGCGATCATGCGGAGTGCGGAGCAGGTGACTGAGGCGACTAGCGAAGCCGACGGTAGAAGCAGAAGCTAGAAGAAAGGCCAAGGCAGATTCGTGGTGGACTCATCGGACTATGTCACTATGGAGAGGGGAGTGACGGTGACCTGATGGTGGAGTGACAGTCGTCAAAGTCGGAGACGACACACACACTCGATGCATTTGATATGAATTTTCAGATTTGGAAATTTAGGTAAATGTATTGGATTTGGATTTGGATTTGGATAAATGGATTGTTGGGTTGGGATTTATGGGTAAATGGATTGTTGGGTTGGGATTGGTTTAGTTATTGGATTGGGCATTTCATTTGGGTCGGCTGAACTAAAAAAAAAAAAAAAGAAAAGGGCCAAAATGAGGCCGCCTAAAATCTTGGGCTTGAGGTGCAGGCCCCATTCGCCACGGCCCAGGACCGGGCCTGGGAGTACGGACAACGAACTTGCAGGCTACGTCCTGTGGTCCTGCGCAGTGCGGAGCAGGTGACTAATGCGAGCAGCGAAGCCGACAGCAGAAGCAGAAGCTAGAAAAAGGGCCAAGGCAGATTCTTGGTGGACTCACTGGACTGTGTCACTGTGGAGAGGGGAGTGACGGTGACCTGACGGTGGAGTGCTAGTTGTGAAAGTCGGAGACGACACACACACTCGGTGCATTTGATATGAATTTTCAGATTTTGGAATTTAGGTAAATGGATTGGATTTGGATTTGGATAAATGGATTGTTGGGTTGGAATTGGTTTAGTTATTGGATTGGGCATTTCATTTGGGCCAACTGAACTAAAAAAAAAAAAGGGCTAAAATGAGGCCCCCTAAAATCTTGGGCCTGAGGCTCAGGCCTCATTCGCCTCGGCCCAGGACCGAGCTTGTAAGGGATTATAACAATATTAGTGTGTTTGGCCCTAATTTAAAGCAAGATTTTTCTGACTTTTGGGGCAGTACATGGGTGTTGCCAAAAAACAATAAAGCTAGACATACAAAAGGTATTTCACAGAAGCCGTACAGAAATTCAAAATGTCACCCGTGTCAGGAAAAGGAAAATCATGGACGTGTCACCGTGTTAGTGAAGGAAAAGGAAATGGCTACTGGCTTGGAGGAAAATGTTGAAAAAATTCATGAAATTATTTATGTTTTGTCATAATTTTCGGGCTCATTACGGATATCAAACGAAATCGAAATATTATAACTTAATATCATTTTGAAGTACTCACGGCCTCGTATTTCACGTCGTTAATGGTGAGCCAAATGGCCAATCGTAGCAAATATTACTGCATGTCAAAATAAGCGGTTTCAAACTAATATTTCGAGAATTTCGATAACAAGGTAATTTTAAAAATTCTTCGACGGTTGTACGCTAATCGAATCCATAAATCTTCTATATCATCTTGAAGCACATTTCGAGAACTATATCATAGACACATCGAATGATCTAAATGAATATTGAAAACAGTTAAACGTACGTCAAACGTGTATGTTAAAAAGATGCGTATAACTCTTTTTTTCAAAAAATATCAATTATTTTATAAATGTTTATTATTTTTTCCCAACAAATTTCTCAATATAATTTCTATCATTTATTTAGAACATTTTACGTGCAGTATGATGTCAATTTTTTTTTCATGTAAAAATTCCTAATAAAAATAATTTTCACTTTATATGGGTTATAAATTGTTACACTACTTTTTCATCTTGATCTATAATCTCCCACAATTTTACAATACATTTTCCCAAAAAAAAAAAATCACTTTTTCACGAAATCACTTCTCCAATATTAACATCACACAAGAGCAAAATTGAAAAAATGGACATAATTAAAAATTTTTGAATTTGAGAACATGCGGAAACATATCATTTCCCTGAAAATATATTTATAATGATTATTTGTATGTTTTATTTATTATTGTTACACCACTTATATAAATTGATGATGATCAATAACTTTACAACCCATATAAACTGATAATAATTTTATTAGGAATTTTTACATGAAAAAAAAAATTTTTGACATCATATCGCATGTAAAATTTTCTAATAAAATGATATAAATTATATTGAGAAATTTGTCGCAAAAAAATAATAGACATTAATAAAATAATTGATTTAAAAAAAAAGAGTTATACACATCTTTTTAACATACACGTTTGACGTACGTTTAACTGTTTTCAATATTCATTTAGATCATTCGATGTGTCTATGATATAGTTCTCGAAATGAGTTTCGAGAGGATATAGAAGATTTATGGATTCAATTAGCGTACAATCGTTAGCTTGTTATCGAAATTATTAAAATATTAGTTTGGAACGGCTTATTTTGACAGGCCGTAACACTTGCTACGGTTGGCCATTTAGCGCACGTTAACGACGTGAAATATTAGGCCGTGAGTACTTAAAAATTATTTAATAATGTAATATTTAGACTTCGTTTGATATCCCGTAATGAGTCTGAAAATTAAGACAAAAATATAAATAATTTAATGAATTTTATTAACACTTTCCTCCAAGCCAAGTGGCCATTTCCTTTTCCTTTCACTGACATGGTGACAAGTCCCACTTTTTTGAATTTTTGTACGGCTTTTGTGAAATACATTCTGTACGTGTAGCTTTACTGGCCAAAAAAAAGGCCAACAAAATCTTGCTTTTAAGCAGGGCCAAACGTGCCGAGAAAGCCACTTGAACCAAATAAATAAATTATAATAAGATATTTAAGCTACTAACGGAAAGACCTTGAGTTTTGTTAAAGGAATAATCTTTGGGGTGTATGAAACAATAAATTTTTAAAATCACAGATACAAAATTTCAATTACCTAGAGAGAAGGATATTCTCTATCAAGAAATAAAATATTAAGAAGAAAATAATTCTTACCAAAGTAGTAAAGAAAAAGGAATACTACTAAACTCCTTAGATTTAGAAGCCCATAGAAAGATCCCAAAAATTTAAACTTACGTAACCCTTTTCCTTTAATTCAGTAAATATTATACGTCTTCCTTCATAAATCAGAAAACTAATGAGTAAGTATAATAATAAATTATGAAATATAGTAATGAGAAAGATTCAAGAAAACTTACAGCTTGAGCTCCACAATAATCCTTTGGATGGCATGTCCAGAAGCATGTTCTCCGATTAAAATTGTATTTTCTTCCATTACTCAGAAAGTGGATTTGGGACGGAAGATCCAAAGATAATATTTTTGATATAGTCCTTCAATTGTTCACATAAGAATAAAAATAAAAATAATCCAATAAAAAATTTAACTAATATATTATAAATTGTTAAATTAGTAGGATACTACTTTCAGCCAAGTATTAGAGAGCCGCTATTTTCATCCACCGTTCTTACATATCTATTCACTTTTCAAAAATAAATAAATAAATAAATAAATAAATAAATACATTATAGTTTTAACTTAAATTTACTTAAATTAATAGACAAAAATGAAAACCAAATAAAATATACCACTCTAAATAATCAATTAATATTTATCCACATTAAATGCTTTTGAGTTTTTTTTTTTATATATTTTTTCAGATTTTACGTTTAACTAAAAGTCATTCCTTTTTTCCTCCTATTAAAGAATTAAGCATACGAGTATACTTACACTGGTTTGGCCTTCTAATAGAGTTGTCAGTTAGACTTGAATACCAAATGGTGTTTGTAATGTTAAAATAAAGGGAAGACGTGTGACAACAACGTTAAATATTGTGTTTACGTATAAAAAGGAAAACTGTCTTTTTCTGTGGAAGAGCCTGACCTCCCACTATGTTTTAATAAAGATAAGAAATTAGAGTGATAATGTAGAACCGAAGAGTAAATTTATCGGAGCTTTGAAACTTTTACATTTCTCAAATCTGCATCTCAGACGTCCAGTTCTTTTTGTCACTGTTAGTCAATTTGTTGTCAAACGACCCCCCGAGCTATGATATAACCTCGGTTCTATTATCAATCGGCCTTGGCCATATGATTGATTAGTATATCGACACAATTATCGAGACAACCCAATCCACATTCTTGTGGACTGTTCGAAGCAACCTATTGTTAATAGTGCTGCTCACGGTTCGTCCCATTTCCTTGGAGGGCTATGTTATTAATTTGAAACTCATTAATATTGAATCGAGCCTTGTTTGGTCCACTAAATAACCTTAACCTAACTTACCTTGTTTGGATATTTTGCTTGGCTTATATTCATGTCTTTCTCTTGGCCTCCAATGCAGAATGCCTAACCTCTCTCTGTGAGACTGACCTCTCGATTTTCATCTCTTCTCTGTGACCTTTGTGGTTAATTGCTAGTGGGCATATTATTGTACTTCATCTTCCCAACCTATAGCAATCGGAAGTGGGGCGTCCTTGGTGGTGGTATTTGAGTTGTCTCAATCCTTGGTGGTGCCGACTTAATAGGTGAAACTGAGCGCCGTTTGAACTTGGTGTTTGCTGGAAACTAGCCCTACAACTGGTATCAGAGCCTGAGTCACCTTCTCCGACCAGAAAAAAACCAAAAACGACGGCGGTGTGCGTGTTTTTCATAGAGGACCGAACCTGCAATCATGTTTTCCGGCCAAACCAGTAACTTTCTGAAGAAACTGACCCCATACCCGGAACCAGCAGGCTGAGGCGCCTCTTCCAGTGCGGCGAGTGGCGACGATTCCAGGCGAACTTCCTTTAGGCAGTTTATTCATTTCAATCCCCTGAACGCACTGACACTGTTTATTTTCTGTTTCAGGTTACACAGAAAAAGTTGAACAATTTTGACCCTAGTGGATCGACGGTTGAAACTGCATATATCTACTAAATTACTTTACGCCAAGATTGCGGCCATAAAGCAGTAGATTCACATCTTTCTCGATTATACGAACTCAGACACATCCACTCTGGTAAATTGGCTTAACCCGTTAATTTTCAGTATTAGCGCGTCACCGTGTGGGGTGACAATAGGTTGGGGGTTGTCATTGCTTGGTAACCATTGCTTGTGCTAGAATTAGGGTTACGTTCTCTTGATTGTTTTTGATTGAGTATTTGTTTTGGGTTAAAATCAATTTTGTAATTCTTAGTGACCTAATTACTATGAGACTAGTTATCTACTAGACGTATTTTTTGCTGCATTGTTATTTTCGCTGCTTACTTATTCCGTTACCCGTTCGAACATTCCCTTGATCTAAGACCGCGAGTCTTACGAAACCCTGAGAATCTAGAACGGTGTATACTGTCTGTGACCCTAGGACTACTGTGTGTGGTTTGATTGTGGTTTGTGCATTTTTTCACTGTTGTGTAAAGATGACAACTCACAACTTTGATTTGGGAATTTTTAATGGAAAGGGTGACTTTGCTATTTGGCAACAAAAAATGAATGGTATTTTAGTCCAACAAAAGGTTTCAAAGGCCATTGAAGGCAATTTTTCAACTGATTTTTCACAAGAACAAAGAAAAGAAGCCGATGAGCTTGCTTATACCTCAATTATTTTACATTTATCTGACGCCATTTTAAGAAAGGTGGGTAAACTGAAAATTATTAAAGAACTTTGAAAAAAATTAGAAGACTTGTATTTGTTTAAGTCTACACCGAATAAACTTTACCTGCTTGAACTTTTTTTCAGTTTCAAAATGGATCCTTCAAAGGATCTTGATAACAATTTAGACGTGCTTAACAAATTGGTGCAAGATATAGTTAATTGTGATGAAACTATGTCCGAAACTTATAAGGGTATAATTTTGCTCAATGTAATTCCTGATTCCTATAAGGAAGTTAAGAACGCAATTAAGTATGGTAGAGACACATTAACACCTGAAATTGTCATAGATTCCCTTAGAAGTAAAGAAATGGAAATTAGGGCTGAAAAACATGATAAGAAGAACGGTGATGTACATATGATGCGGAGTAGAACTCAATTTAGGCAAAATAGTCATGATGGATATCAAACTAGTCGCGAGTCAAGTGGTAATGGATGGAAAAAGAAGAGTAAAGGTAGGTCTAGATCAAAATCTAGGACTAAGGCGAGAAAATTTTATGTTTGTCGAAACACGGGGCATTTTATAAAAGATTATCATAAGGAGAAGGGTAAGCTAAAGGTTAAGGAGAGAGATGAGGTCAATCTGTTAGCATCTACTTTCGATATAAATGGTGGTGAGGTCTATATGATTACAAGTCCAGTTGCATACACTACTGAATTAAATCTTACTGCTAATTCCCGCATGCATGAGTGGATACTTGACTCTGGTGCATCTTTTCATGTGACGTCTAAAAAGAATTGGTTTTATAAGTTGCATGAATCTAATGTTGGGCATGTTGTGCTGTGTGATAACTTTGCCTATACTATTGCTGGAATTGGTGACATAAACGTAAAATTTGACACAGGTTTTGTGTATACGTTAAAGGACGTTAGATATATTCCTGAGTTGTCTAAGAATCTGATTTCAGTAGGGAGACTTGAGAATGATGACCTTACTAGTAAAATTGGAAATGGTATGCTAAAAATGATCAAGGCTGCCTTAGTTTCCATTAAGGGAATTAAGAAAAATGATATATATATTACTATTGGGGAAGTGATTAGAGGTGTGAACCCCTCTATCTCCTCCGCAAAGATTGATCACACACACACATGGCATAATAGACTTGCTCACGTAGGGGTCAGGGGACTTAAGCTACTTAACGAAAAAGGTGCTTTTTGTAATGATTGTGTGTCAGATTTGCCATTTTGTGATCATTGTGTGCTTGGTAAGCACCATAAAACTTCTTTCTCCACGAGTGTTAATAGAGCTAAAGGCATGCTCGAATATGTGCACTCTGATCTATGGGGTATTGCTAGTAATCCCACATTGGGTGGGAATAGGTATTTCCTGTCTATTATCGATGACTGCACTAGGAAAGTATGGATCTATCTTTTAAAGGATAAATCTGAGACCTTTAATAGTTTTAACAATTGGAAGAGACAAGTGGAAAACCAAACTAGCAAGAAAATTAAATTTTTAAGGACAGATAACGGCCTAGAATTTTGCAATAAGGAATTTGATAGTATGTGTAAAGAAAACGGCATAACTAGACATAAGACCATTCCTTACACTCCTCAGCAAAATGGGGTAGCAGGAAGGATGAATAGGACCATACTTGATAAAGTACGTTGCATGATGATTAGTTCTGGTGTTCCCAAGTCATTTTGGGGCGAGGCTGTTATGACCGCTTGTTATTTGATTAATCTGACTCCTTCTACTGCATTGAATGGTGACACTCCGCAAGAGAGATGGTCGGGTAAATTGAGTAATTACTCGATACTTAGAACTTTTGGCAGTACAGCTTTTTCTCATCAAAGTGAGGGTAAACTGGAACCTAGAGCTAAAAAGTGTGTCTTTCGAGGATACCCCGAGGGTGTTAAGGTTTATAGGTTTTGGGATAGAAGCCAAAAAGGGGTTAAGATCATCATAAGTAGAGATGTCACGTTTAACGAAAATGAGATGTCGTGTATTAAAGGGGAAACTGAACCTGAGAGTGAAGCTGAACCAGGTGAAGAGAGAGACCAGTTTAAGGTGGAGTTAGGAAAACTTAGTCCACTAGCACCTACTGTTTCAAATGTGGTGGAGACTCAAACTCAGGAACCCGAGGTGGAGAATAGTAACGAAATAGTGACAGAAGAGCACTATGAGGAACAAAATCCTTTAGCTAACTATAACTTAGTTAGGGACAGAGAGAGGAGACAAACGAGAGAACCTAGAAGGTTCAGTTTTGAATCTGAATTAACTTTTGCCCAGGCTAGTTATGAAGAACTAGCTGATAAAGAGCCAAAGACCTTTGAAGAGGTAATAGGCAGTGATCAATCTAATGAATGGTTTAAGGCAATAAAAGAAGAGATGAGTTCTCTAGAAAAGAATCATACTTGGGAGCTAGTACCTAGGCCTAAGAACAAATCAATTGTTGATTGCAAATGGGTCTTTAAGGTTAAGGGAGATACTAGCAGCTCGGAACCCCTAAGGTTTAAAGCTAGGTTAGTAGCTAAAGGCTATACACAGAAGGAGGGCGTTGATTATAATGAAATTTTCTCACCAGTTGTTAAGTACACCACTATTAGGGCAATGCTTGCATTGGTTGCACATTTTGACTGGGAACTTGAACAACTTGACGTAAAAACTGCTTTTTTACATGGTGAGCTTGATGAACAAATTTTCACAAATCAACCAAAAGGTTTTAAGGATAAGTCAAAACCTGATTATGTGTGTTTTCTTAGAAGATCCTTGTATGGGTTAAAACAATCTCCTAGATAGTGGTACAAGAGGTTTGATTCCTTTGTACTCACTATAGGGTTCCAAAGAAGTAAATTTGATCACTGCCTGTATTTTCAACAGGATGAGACTGATGATAATTATTTGTTTTTGTTGCTCTATGTGGATGACATGCTTTTGATTGGATCATCCTCTAAGTGGATAAATATCATAAAAGCAAAACTAAGTGGTGAATTTGACATGAAAGACCTAGGTAAGGCTAAGAGAATCTTAGGTATTGAAATCGAAAGAGATAGGTCAAATTCTGTGTTGTTTTTGCATCAGTCTCCATACACAACCAAAGTATTGAAGAAATTTAATACGAGTAATTGCAAATCTGTCACGCTGCCTCTTGCTAATCATTTTATTTTATCGAAGGAACAACTCCTTGCAATGAGCGTGAAGTAGAATACATGAGTAGAGTGCCTTACTCTAATGTGATTGGTTCCATAATGTATTTGATGATTTGCACTAGACCAGATTTAGGTTTTGCTATTAGTACTCTTAGTAGATATATGGTTAATCTGGGCCCTGAATATTGGGAAGCGCTAAAGTGACTATTAAAGTACTTGGAGGGTACAAGTGACGTAGGTTTAAAGTTTAGTGCTAATAAAGAATGTATAAAATTAAAGGGTTTTGTATATGCTGACTACGCGAGAGATAGGGATGGTAGGAAATCTACTTCGTCTTATGTGTTTACCTTCTCTAATTCATGTGTTAGTTGGAAATCACAGTTACAACATATTGTTGCACTATCCACTACAGAATCAGAATATATTGCTATCACTGAAGCTATTAAAGAAGGTCTATGGCTTAGAGGACTTCTTTATGAACTATGTGTCTTAAATGATTATGTGGTAGTGTATTCTGATAGTCAGTCATCTATACATTTATGCAAGAACCCGTTTTTCACCTTCACACTAAATACATTGATGTTAGACTCCACTTCATTAGAAATATAGTATCTCAAGAGGTGGTAAGACTTGAAAAGGTCCACATCCACTACAATCCCTCTGATATGGGGATGAAGGTACTGCCACTGGCAAAATTTAGAAGTTACAAGGAACTTCTAAACATTGGTACAGGTAAATAATTTTCAATTTTATAGGTTTTCTATCAGAGGTGTCACTAATGGGAGACATTTTTTCTTTTGCAGGTCCTTTGACACCAAGGTGGAGGTTGTTAGGCAATTTGTTGTCAAACGATCCCCCGGGCTATGATGTAACCCTGGTTCTATTATCAATCGACCTTGGCCATATGATTGATTAGTATATCGACACAATTATCGAGACAACCTAATCCACATTCCTATGGACCGTTTGAAGCAACCTGTTGTTAATAGTGTTGCTCACGGTTCATCCCATTTCCTTGGAGGGCTATGTTATTAATTTGAATCCCATTAATATTGAGTCGAGCCTTGTTTGGTCCACTA